GCAGCAGTACCAACACAGTTAGCAGAAGTTTGCAGAAAGCCATGGCCGTGATGAAGAACAGTGTAGCAGTACCTCTGTGTGGTGAGGGGGGAACAAGTGCAGCTTTATATGCACTGCTGGAGAGATGACTATCATTAGTCCCGCCCTTTACATCTCAAACCACACCTAAAAAAATGTACATGCGATTTTAACATGCAGTGGAAAAATAATTGAAGACTTTGGTTGAATATTCTGGCAACGTGCCAAAAATATATATTTTGAACAATCAAATGCCATCTTTGATGAAAGAGTTTAACTCTTTTATTTGATTTATCTGCACTGCAGACCTGTTAGTGTGACACATTGTGCTTGAAAAGTTACCTGCTACTGCTGTGTTTAATTTCCACTTAAATTATCTAAAAGTGGAGGGTGGTGGAGTTAAAGTGTAAGGCATAAAAGGTGTGGTCTCAGTAGAATTTCCATCTCCACCCTAAATGACCTTAGCCCTTCCACCCTTTTTTATTTATTATACTATATAACTGCTCTTGTATACAGACCCACAATGTTTCTGTTTCAATGGTTCTTACGCATACTCCATGTATATAGTTTCACTCACATATATGTATCCATATATGCTTTTTATTTTATTTTAATTATTTATTTGTTTTCCCCTTGTTGTATATTGTTTTCTCTTCTTACCTTTGCACCTTTGTGGTCCAGCTACCCAATTTCACTGTGCAAGAAACTGCACAATGACAATAAAAAACTCTAAGTCTAAGTAAAGGTCTCGAGCATGTATGACTGAAAGGGAGCGAAGGGAAAATGGAGACAGAAAGGCAGAGGAAAGGCCAGGGACCGAGTACTCGTGCTCCAACTATTGAGACCTGTGTACTCATTGCAGAGACCTAAATTCTGTTGTGTTTGCCATTTGCTGCATATCCCTCAATCTCTCGCTTTACTTTATTGCCATTCAACCTTCTAGGAATAACAAAAAGCCACAAATAAGTCACAAAAGAAAAGTTCTCATTGAATTCTGTCACGTTAGTAAGTAAACTGAAGCACAGATGGAAAGCCCAAGGTGGCATAGCAGGTAGTGAAATGAAAAGGCACTTTAGCTGCTACTGGAAAACAAGCAAAGAACAAAGGAGGGAGGGAAAAATACACAAAGCTAGAAAATAATGAGGAACTAAACTGAAAGGATAGACAGGAGGAAGATGGAAAAGAAAGACTTTTAAGAAGCTTGAAAACAAAGATTAACGACATGAAAAGCACAAAGACTGTGAAAGTCTTATTCATGTGAGTGAATGTGAGTAGCTGATAAATGCTTGGTAATGCAAAAAGGTTTGAAAGGTAATGAGTGCACGATTTATTTATTTATTTAAAAAAAAAATTTGAGGGGGGATTTTGCAGCCGCTGATTAAGTTGTTATTTTTTGATGCATCTCCGTATCTCGTTTTTATCTTTCCACATCTATACAGGCTCCTCGGTTTGTGCAACAACTTTGCTTATGTGGTGATGCTGAGCGCCGCACATGACATTCTCGAGAAACAAGAGTCACGAAATGAAACGGCGTCTGTAAGAGAACAAATGTGTATTTAAATATGCACTGCTCAAATAAATGAAAGGAATACTTGATCACTGGATTCTGGCACAAAGTCTTCAGAGATGTTGATCTGTCCAATCAGGAAACAGAAACTGTTGTGAATGC